GTAATACTGTTTATTTCTTGATAATTTAACAAAAAAAACACATCTCAATGTAGGAGATGTTCAAAATGCGCACTGCGAACCTCTTGGCAACATCCTAAACCAAAATAAAAATGTCTTCTAACGTTACTCTACATCTCAGGCGTGACCGATCTAATGGCAAGTGTTATTCGTTTTCTTAAGTCAGCTAGGTCGAGAGGTTTAGTTTTGTATACAATACAGATCCTCATAAGAAAAAGTCTAATGATGTCAGATCAAAATGAACAAAATAAAATATTAAAAATTTACCTAAATAAGACTTCTTGTCTCTCAAATAATTTATGTTTTATGGTAATAACAGTCCCTTACTATACACCTTGGCATTTTTTGTCCAAAATAAACTCACTTAACAACACAGTAAACAATATATCGTAATTTCACTGATAGCAGAAAAATGGCGATATACACGTTCTTCGTCAGCAACTTGTTGTCGAAGACGGGTGGTGGCGGGAAAGACCTAACTTAATCGCTTTAATTGGTGAAAGTTGGTAGTGGGAATTGAGGGGAAAAAGGCAGTGTGCGCATTAGACCATGTTACATCTTCGGTTTCTTTAATCTAAGATTAGCATGACCGTGAAGTGTAAAGGTACACTCATCAGAAAACGAAAAATTTTCTAATTGGATCACCATATTATCTAACATTGCCATCATTTTTTCACAAAATTTTGCTCTCATATCAAAATCGTCTTCCATGAGCTATTATTGCTATTATTTTATAGGGACGTATTTTATTTTCTTTAAATGTTCGAATAATCGATTAATGGCCAATATAAAACATTATGGCTGCTTGTCGACTAGAAAAGTATGTGGGTTTTCCTGAAACTCAAGCATAATATCCAATTTGGTATTATTAGTTATTGCATGTCCAAGCTTGCGAAACTGCTTCTCTATTTTATTAATTGTCCCTTGGGATATACGCTGCAAACTTTTTTCATGAAATAATAGTGCAGGGCATAGTGGCGCATTTGTTTGCAAAATTGTTTTAATTCGTAATTTCTTTTTAAATGTCCGGAAGGCTTTCCTGATCATAAAAGTGTAAGATAACACTCGATATCTGTTGATGTTGTTTAAACAACGAAAAATTAATTAGGCCAGAAAAAATGCATTTTTTGCAATAAATTAATTTTTTTTTATATTCTTTAGGATATTTAAAATAAAAAAAGTCCTTACGCCCATCATCGTATCTTTAACCCTTTAATTGTAATGAATGTTTTAAAATCCGAAATTGACGAAAATTCTAATTTTCTTGAATTAAATAATATACCTTAAAATTTAAAATGCTATAATTTTAAATTTTTTACCGAATATTCAAACTATAATAAACAAAATAACCTAAATAAATTTTCAAAATTTTGTTTGTTTTGTTTTTTTTACGTTATAACAATATGCTTCCTACGCGCGTGTACTTTTAGAGAGAAGTACTTCTATCTCACTTCTAACTCAATGTATAAGATGGGTAAGAGAAAGCCCGATGACGCGCTGAATCAATTTTTTGCTGTTTTTCAGAGATAATAAGTTTTATAAAATTATTAATAACATTTTTCATAACACGGGTGTAGCCCGTCTCGGCATACTTAATAACGGTCAATTTTATGACACATTGTCGGTCCTTTTGTAATGACCCATCTCGGCACAATTGTATAAAGAACTATAGTAGGATAATCGCCATATAAAAATTATTGGAGGCAATCGCGCCCGACATCTATTGGTACAATCATTGAACTAACGATTTTATTTACTGCTTAGATACGCCCTCTACGTCAGATGTTAGAAGTGACAATTCCGTCAAATTAATTGTCAATATATATTTTTTAGTTATTAAGATTAAATATAATTAAAAATTAGTAATTCTTGTGAAGAATCAATAAATAATAGCATTCCACAAGACATTCGTCTATATTTAAAAATAAATTGAGATTTTAATGAAACTAAAAGCAATCTGATTATCAGGTTAAAAAGTAAAACTTTCTCGTAAGCCTCCATAACGAATATTTAGAGTACTCGTCTATAAATCGAAAGGTTCCGAGTTTAAACCCACGAGTAGACACTTTTTTTTTTATTAATTAATTTTATTTTCTAAATTGGTAAAACTTAAATAAATTTCAAAAATTTAATCTTAATGCTCAAATTTCGTCTTTTTGCTATGGCCACTCGGGATTATCAAATTATAATAGAATATTATAAGGTCCGGTAATTTTATTTAAATCTTTTGACAATGAAACTAAAAATGTGTGTCTAAAGGAGAAATATACCGAAACTAACAAGTATTTAAATTTTGCTAATAAATATTGGTATTAGGTATGTGTTAAAAGAAAATACATCATTTTGGATTTAAATATACAGTGTCTCGCAAAATGTCTGCATCAAGAAAACACGAAATTACATTTTTCTTTAATCTACGTAAAAAAGTGCGAATTAAAATTTTTTACTGAAACTTATTAGGTACCTAACAGGGTTATTCATTATAAATTACCCTCCCTTTATGTCATAATTATTATTGTATAATGTTTACATTGACCGAATTTTGTAAAAATGTCATCAAATGACCATATCAGTGGCGTGCATATTTCGCAGGATTTAACATGAATATATTCTAATAGGGATAGCATACATATATATTTTACTCAATTTTCGGAATGATTTTTATTCTTATAAATATTTACACTTTTTCTTCCTCACTGTAAACTACCTATATTTGAATTATTTTATTATCAAACATAATAGTTGTGATTTTCATATCTTTTACTTTAATAATGTTAACTTTTTCATATTTACATTATCGACGTTAAATTACTCGAGAACAGACGGTATAAGATAGGGTTATCATTATCAATAATATACATTTGTGAAATTAGAAAAAAAAATATCACAGAAATTTAATAACATGGAGGGTATCCCATTTAAAAAAGTTTATTTGTGTTGTATTCCGTGAAATCTGAATACGTGTTTTTATGGTATATTTAAAAAAAGTCAGTCATATCCACAAACTTTTATTTAAATTTTTTTTTTGAATATGCAATAGTGGTTATAAAAGGTGACTTTAATAATGAATAATTTTATACATGATCTCAAATAAATTTGTTGAAATTAATTTCATTTGTAAAAATGTCACTTCTGCTTCTCCCGTATTGCTAACAAAAAAAAAATTATGTCCAGGTCTGGGATTTGATGGTGGTAAATATTAATTCTAAATATACATTTTTCAAGTAATATTGTCTTCCTGTTTTTAGAAATAAAGGTTACTGCTTAGCCAAATTCACACACAGTATGTTTATATATTAAAAACTTCCCCTACTAAATATTGTGGCTCAATCAAAGTAGATATCTTAAATTGATTATTGTTAGAAAAAGTAGAAATAATATTAAATATAATAAAGAAATTAAAAATATAATTTAAAATTAGTTTAAGTTATATTATTTAAAGAAAAAAATTTTTAGCGTGGACTTAAATAAAACAGTAAAGAACTACCTGAGAATAATCACTTCAATCTATCTATAACAAGAATTATTCATAAAAATTACTTATATTTTCCAAACCTAACCAACAGGATTATTGGAAATACCAACAAAAATAATCCGGTTGGAGTTCGGCTCTGGGGGCTAGGGCATTTAGGGTCGAGATATTAAGACCAAACTTGGTATATGGATGTACTATCCTATAAAAATAAAAATTGCATAAAAAAAAATTCACCTCTCCCCACCCCTATCTGATATGGTGGGGGTGGCATCCCCAAAAAATCAAGTTAGAACTTTTTAACAAAACAGTTAAAATCTACGATTTTTTATACATACAAACCCAAAATTTCAATTTTTTTTATCATATTTGTCAGAAAGTCCAAAAAAAATTTTGGAAAAATGTTATCAAAAAAAATTTAAATTTTGGGTTTGTATGTAAAAAAAAATCGTAGATTTAAATTTTTTTTTAAGTTCTTAATTGATTTTTTGGGGATGCCACCCCTCTATCTCCCTCTAGGGGATGGTGGTGGCAAGATTTTTATACAAAAATGTTGCAAATCATTTATATTATAAATATGTCAAAAATAAGATTTTTATGTCGTCTGTAACTATTTTTAAATGCCAGCCCCCATATCCAAACTATGAAGATTAAAGACAAAATTTCTTTTAAGTTGGAAATTTTTTTTAAGTTGGAAATTTTTTTTTTAAAAAATTGTAATTTTGGTTTTTTATGTATAAAAAATCGTAGACTTCAACTGTTTTATTTAAAAAGTTCTAACTTAATTTTTTGGGGATGCCACCCTCACCATATCAGACAGGGATGGGAAGGGGTGAATTTTTTTAAAGCGATTTTTATTTTTATGGGATAGTACATCTATATACCAAGTTTAGTTTTAATATTTCGATCCTAAATGCCCTATCCCCCAGAGCCGAACCCCAACCAATAATCCTTATAGAACCCATTGTGTTTACTTCAATATTAAGAATTCATTTATATTATTTACCAGCCATCTTAAGGGTATTTTTTATTACATTGTTACGCACCAGATTAAAGAAATAACCTGTTGTTTATAATTACTTATGTTAAGTGCTTAGGTAGGTACCTTACCTACCTACCTATAGGTATATGTATTTGAATTAAATTACACTTTTCACTCCATAACTAACTTCAGTCTATGCTAAATCATTGTATTTCAGTGATGTGAAGTTAGATATGAAGTAAAAAGAGTAAAAGGAGTCCACAGCCCGAACTCCAACATATATAGACTCGATGACAGTTGTTTAAATTATCGATGAGATGGGGTAATTGTCGTAGCCAACCTAACAATTATAGTATAGGTATATAAGTCGAGGATAACAAAGGGAACAATATAAGTTATTTGGAAAATTACTAGATTCAATATTCCCGCGCTTTTTTCACGCATAAATAAAGCAAAATTTTCGAATAACGGGAAATGTCCATTACATACTTTCCTTCGACCAAAATTATTTTTAATTTTTATTATCAGTTTTAGAAATAACAACGTCATAGAAATCTATGTGGACTGCATATGGTCGACGACTGAAATTTTGCGACCTGAATCCTTAGAGATACCAGATGATTCTGATCTTATAATAGGATACCTATTTACGGTAAGTTAACAGGTAGTACCTATTTTCTGGTTTTGGTTTTATTGGGTTGGATGAAAGTTTTTTTAATAGTGAAATTGTAAAGCTATCGCCTCTTGTATGTGCATTCTTTAGTATTTTTATTAATAATCTTTAATTAGTCATTATACCGGGTGTTCAAATTAAAGTGTTACAGTTAAATACCGCCGAAAATATGCATTTTAGAAAAAAAAGTTTTAGAGTTTTTGGGGGAAACATTTTGGCTAAATTCATTTTTTTATAGCTGACCATAATATGGCCATATCGAGATAAACTTTGTTTTTTTAAATGGGAATCCCATTTTTTTCGTACATATTCTTAAAGTACATAAAAAAATAAGAAACTTTTGAAAAAAATGGCCATATTATTGTTAGCTATAAAAAACGATTTTAGCCAAAAGTTTATCCCTACAAAACTATAAAACTTTCGTCTGAAACGTTTTTTTTTTATAAAAAGCGTATATAGCTGTAACGCTTTAATTTAGAACACCTGGTATATTATCTTTTTTATACAGGGTGTTAGTAAATAAGTGCGACAAACTTCAGGGGGTGATTCAGCATGAAAAAATAATGACAGTTTGCTATAAAAACGTATGTCTGAAAATGCTTCGTTTTCCGAATACGGGGTGTTAAAGTTTTTCTTAAAACCTGACGATTTGTTTATTGCTCTGAAACCGGTCAAGATATGCAAATTAAATTTGGTGGATTTTAAGAGGTAGTTATTCCGCATTTTTTGAAATGCAATTAAGAATTTTATGTTCATCATTGGCGTGCATACGGGTAATGATCTCAATTCATTTAAAGAAAAAAATGGTACGCCACTGAGATATTTCAAATTAAAAATCATTTTTGAATTCCTCATTAAATTTGTCATAAAAAATGTCTCCTGTCTTTTTTTCGTGTGGGGCGCCGTTTTTATGCAAAAAAATAAAATATCTTAACGCGTATTTTTAATACATTATCAAGAACTATCTAATACAATAACATTAAACTAGAACAATAACAGAAAATAACACTAATAAAATTTTAAATAGGCGCAAAGCTTACAACAAATGCTGAAAATGACCTCCTTCAGACGTGAGACAAGATTCAACTCTTCGCCGCATTGATTGTCGTATTCGCGCAAATTGTCCTGGTGTTTTTCTTATTGTCTCACAGCGGGCTATAATTCGGTTCCTCAGGTCTCCGACATTTTCGACGGGAGTGGAATAAACTAGTGACTTAAGAAAACCCCAAATGCAAAAATCCAGAGGATTTAAATCCAACGATCGAGCAGGCCAATGTTCCGTACCATCCCTACCTATCCAACGATTTGCATATACTGCATCTAAGTGATTTCGTACATTAATGCTAAAATGGGCTGGTGCACCATCATGCATGAACCATAAGTATTGTCTCAGCTGTAGAGGAATTTCTTCAAGAAGAACACGCAACTCTTCCTGTAGGAATTTAAGGTAAGAGTCGCCTGTTAGTCCTTGTGGGAGGAAATATGAACAGATTAAATGATCATTAATTACCCCAATCCATACATTTACCGAAAACTGATGCTGAAAATAAGCATCAAAGATTCCATGTGGATTTTCCTCAGCCCATAAGTGATTGTTATGGAAATTTCGTATAGACTCTTGACCAAAATTAGCTTCGTCAGTAAACAAAACTCTATTTAAAAAATTAGGAATTTGAGCGATTTGATGAAGAATCCATTGGCAAAAAATAGGTAGTAGAGCTTGCACACGTTGAATATGAAACGGATGCAACTGCTGTTCTTTAAGAATTCTAAATACAGTGAAGTTGCTTACATTTAATATGTTGGCTTTTCGATTACTTGTTTCCGGTGACTCCGCAATTAACTCGAGAACTGCTTCTTCTAGTTGCACAGTTCGTACTTCTCGGGGGCGCCCGCAGTCAGCCGTTTGTTTCTTAAATGTACCATTTTCACACAAACGTTGGTGAAGGCGAGCAAATATTGTGTGATGGGGTACCCTACGTCCTGGATACAACTCAGCATACAATCGTCGAGCTTGCCGACCATTTCCATTACTTCGACCATAGACAAAATGCATGTCTGACAATTCCACGTTTGTATAATTTTCCATTGTTTTCGATGAAAGAAAAGTTAATTACTTATTAACATCAATGTTATACCAAACTAAAAGCTTAATAATGAAGAAACGCTAATTTGACATTTCGTTAAACTATTCGTATTTAACAGAATGTTGACAATAGCCTACTAGTACTAGCGTCGCTATTAGATAATAATGTATTAAAGAAATGGAAAATATGCGTTAAGATATTTTATTTTTTTGCATAAAAACGGCGCCCCACACGAAAAAAAGACCTAAAATATTTTTTGTGACCAATTTAATGAGGAATTCAAAAAGAATTTTTAATTTGAAATATCTCAGTGGCGTACCATTTTTTTCTTTAAATGAATTGAGATCATTACCCGTATGCACGCCAATGATGAACATAAAATTCTTAATTGCATGTCAAAAAATGCGGAATAACTACCTCTTAAAATTCACCAAATTTCATTTGCATATCTTGACCGGTTTCAGAGCAATAAACAAATCGTCAGTTTTTTAGAAAAACTTTAACGTATTCGGAAAACGAAGCATTTTCAGACATACGTTTATATAGCAAATTGTCATTATTTTTTCATGCAGAACCATCCCCTGAAGTTTGTCGCACTTATTTACTAACACCCTGTATATTAGAATTACTTTTTTATTATAATTTTTAATAACTGTATTAAGCATTATGTATATTTTTTTGTGTATTGGCTTATTTAACTATTACAATGGTTTATCACTTACAATAAAAAAATTACTATTTTTATATTATTATCATTTAACTATTTTATTTACATTTTTTTTATTATTACTAGACATTAATATGACGTGCATCTTACTCCTTTGCATTGTAGTACCTATAATTCTAAATATAAATAAAAGCGACATGTAGATAATACCATAAAGTGAATTCTTTGTGATGTCACTGCATTTAGTAAGAAAAGTGAAAGAAATATGAAAAATTAAATTAAAACTACAACAAACCAAAAAATTAAATACATGATACTATTGTAAAGGTAACGTAGGGCAACCGTTACTGATATATGAAAAGTAATGAAAATTTACAATATGAATAAAAAAACTGTGTACGTTGTCTATTGTTCAATAGATTAAAGTCAAATAAATACCTGACAAATATTACTGTGACCTACATAAAATTTATTTTATTCTTATTAAAGCATTTATTCCCTTGTCAAAAAAATTTTACAACATAGTTCTGGTAGTATGAATTATTATAACGTATTAAATTCACTGTATAGTGGCAAACATGAAGTAAGAGCACTAGGTAGCCTATCATTTTTTGCCTCAAAGTTTCTGGCCCCATATACCACGGTTTAGGAAAATACAAATATTATTCAAATCATGCGTATAAGATACAATTTTAAGAAAATATTTTACTCATTATAAATGCTTATAAATGTCTATAATGATATGTTCTTCTCCACTGTTTACAATATTTCTTTATCTGCGCTTTCTCAGTAGGTACTTATTTATGCATTTAAATAAATATTTTTCCAGTTTTGGTAATTTTGTGTTTTTACGTTTTGTAGTATTCTATAGTTAATTTATGCATTTCTTTTTCTAGGGTGATTTGGAACAATTCTCTCTCATTCCACATCCAAAAATGGCCAGTCAGCAATGTGAAGATATTCGTGTTCCTATAACGGATTACCAAGAAATAGTCAATAGATTTAAAATAAAACAGAAAACTGATTAATCAAAATAATTTATTTTAATTTATTTAATATATAATAAGAGACGTTACACAAATGTCTGGTGGTTAGTCCTAATGAGTAGGATTAAATTGTACCTTGCATTCGTTTAATCAGTTGCAAAAATATATCTGCATGGCATGGTAAACAACGAAGAAAAAGAAAGTTTCGTTTATTTGTTGACAACACTACTGTAAGAACTCAACTGATCGTCTGGACATACAGGTTATAAAAAAGGTATACGAGCCATAGATGCCTACCAACTCGCCTGCATTCGATAATGTTTACTTTTATTAAGATAAAGTTTAGTAATGTTTGAACTTCGGCAGTATGTTGTTCTTCCTAATATAATAAAGACAATATTTGTGTACATTTCCTTTATTGTAGAACTAAGAATAATATGCACGTAACAAATAATTTACAATTCTTCAAATAACTGTTGTGTAGAAATTTATTAGATGATATGGCTAAAAAAATTAAATATGTATTCATACAAAATACTAAAAACAAAAGTAAAATTCTAAAAAAATTGAAAAAAAGGCATTTTTATACAACAAAAAATGATTCTCGAAAACTTGACAAACTAACGAATAAAGACCTCAAATATTCCACCATCTTTTGCTAATTAATAGCCCTCTTCACAGCGCAGGTTCATCATCATTTGGCTCTTAATAACTTGTATGGCATTGGCCGATTTTCATACGGCCCAATAAATAAATTAAATATCTAGACGAAGGAATTACCCCCAAAATACAATTTTAAAAGTTGTATATTTTCCTCTTTAGTGTAGATTAAATTAGGTTGGCAGTTGAACGTTGTTTGTCCTTGTCCACCTCGATCTTTTCAGATCTTATGTGGGACTCCGTTTGTTTAAGAGTATATCGTCTAGCTTGGTCTTTTTTATTAGACTAAGTAGCTTTGACAGTGGCTCCCTCATGTAGTTGTACGTTTGGCTTTTCTTCGCCCAATGTTAGAAACCTCATTCCAGCCAGGCCTTCTCATTGGCACAGGACGTAGAATGATGTTTTCTCTTATGTTCACAAAACCTGCACACAGATGCTTCTTCTGATAGATTGATGACACTCATGTCCCTTTTAAGGTGATAGTGTCCAGTAAAAAGACCTACTGTTATTCTAACGATTTGACGTTTTTGACCCAGTAGGTCTTTCGTGCAGTTGGCCGATGGTTCCTTGATGAATTGCTTGGCCTGTCTTAGTCTTGTTCCACCATTTCTGAGACTGTTTTTGCATCCATTGTTTGATGGATGCCTTGCACAATACCTTATAGCAACTTCACAGAAGGGTTCGGGGCCTGTTATGGCCTTATCTGAGCCTTCTCGAGTTAATTCGTCGGCCTTTTCATTTTTTTAATATCCCTCATGGCCTGGCACCCAGGCTAGGGTGACCTTGTTTTGACTACTTAGCCCTGCCAGGTCTTCTCGAGAGTCTTTCACCAGTCGTGATTTGATTTCTGATGCGAGAATTGTCTTTAGAGCTGCTTGGATATCAGAGAATATGGCAATAGTTTGCATGATATTTGTTGATTAAGTATTTCTCTTGCACAATGTTGTATGGCTATAAGTTCAGCCTGGAACATTGTTGCATATTTTCCTAACCCCAGCGAAATCGTTTTCTACTTGGGTCCATAGATTCCAGCACCGGCTCCTTCCTTGGTTTTTGAACCGTCTGGGTACCAGATGAGTTCAGCCTGTACGGGAAGTCCCTGTTACTTGAAGCTGGTATTTGAATTTCAAAAGTCCTTTCAAATTTGTATGTGGTTATGGCTCAGTAGGCATACCTAGAAGAGTATTCATTTTTACTTGCTGACATAGCCTTGATGGTCGGCGCTATGTAGGTGGCTTATTGAGTTTTGTCCCTGCATTAGCCTGTGAATAGCTGACTGATGTTTCTCCTTGTATGAAAATGTGCAGTGGCGTGAGATTAAAAAATACCTCCATTGCTGCAGTTGGCATAGTGTGGATGGCCCTAGTAGCACTTAAAGAGGCAAGCCGCTAAATTCCAGTGAAATTGCACTTGTCTGCGCAGTTTTGGTTACCCACGCCATTGCGCCATAGCTTATAATGGATCTTATCATCATTGTGTATAACCATATGGTCATTTTGGCGTTAAGACCCCAGTTTTTCTCACTTATTCTTCTACAGCTTACGAGAGCTATTGTAGTTTTGTGAGTTTTTTAAAAATTTTATTCCACGTCAGCTTTTGGCCAACTATGTCTATGAGGTATTTTGCTCCTGTGACGAATGAAATAACCATGTTATTTATTACTAGTAGTCTTAGTCCTGTAAGTACTCGTTTTTTTTGTAAATGGTACAATTGTTGTTTTGTGCGTTAATTGACCGCTTTAGGACTGTGCCTGCAAATCGCCCCCTGACGATAATTGCTGGGTCTTCTGCGTATCCTAGGCACTGGTAGCCTTCTTTGAACTGATCACAACATTGAAGATAATATTCCTCCTTGTGGGCAACCCCGTGTAACTTTTGCCTATATGGTTGTCTTTTCCAGAGTGGATAAAATGATCCTGTTCTCTAGAAAGGCAGTGATCCATTGGTATATCGTAACTAGAATGTTTCTGTTTTAGAACCTTGGTTATTGACCTAGTTAAGGCCTTGTTAAAAGCTCCTTCGATATCTAAGAAAGTGGCTATTGCGATTTCTTTGTCATTTATTGACAGCAGCCTGTTTAGATCATCTAGCGCTAAGTCAGTTGACTTTCCTGGCTGGTATGTATATTGTTTGAGATGAAGTATCTCGTCCCTGATATACCTATCAACCAATCTTTCTAGAATTTTAAAAATAAAATTTTATAAGCACAATTTTCAAACCAAATGTTTTGCCTGCAACAGCCTAGGTTATCATGTGACCACCAAGCAGTATATCAAATGAGAAATAAAGTGCTGATAATATAAAAAAAGGTAAAATATAACACAGATTGATACTATGTCACCTTGACGTATTGTGATGCGGAGACGTTGCTTTCAGGAGTTTGACGTATCAGCTACTCGAAAACAGCGTGCGTAAAAAAGAATTAAGCTCTTAGCCATCACAGAAAGGGTACGCACTACAATACGTCATGCGCGAATACGCATAGATTTCGTCTGCTAAGTATCATAATTCTAAAAAAATTTGTATTATGAATACATGTCGACCGATTCCATTACAATGCTCTCTGACGTATACCATATACTGTATACTACAATTAATAGAGATGTGCGTAACTATACCGTATGGCACATAAACTTTTTTCCTAACCTGTATGTGAAGTACTTCATTACAATTTATAACTCTGACGTATGCTGATCGTACGTCATACTCGAGAACTGAGATAATGACCCAGCATATCAGTCAGGACTTTGACGGTCCGAGCAACATCTGGAAAGGGCCCATTGAGTATTGTTAATATTATAGGAAGTATGAGAATTCTTTTTTTAACCAAACAACCTGTAAGCCTTTGTCAGGCAATTATAATAGTGAAAATGATACTCGCGTCTGACTATCAAAAAACTATCATATATTACTTTTTAATTAATTCAAAACCATAACAACATAAAATCATTACTTACAGGGTGTTATAAACATAATTACAATAAATAATAATTTCTACACAACCATGTTTAGTATCGGCTACAGAGATTTAGAATTAGAGCGAGTAGAAAACGAATAATATCAACGCGTTGCCATTTTATACGTCCAGCCCACGTTACAACGCTGTGCCATTTTTGATTAGGTCGGTAGGATCGTGTAGCGTTCTACTGGTGAGGAGTTCAGTTCAAACAACTTTCTTATTCTTTGTTTATTAATTGTTATAGATACTTTAAATTTAAAATAGTAGTCATGACGTAGTTGTGTTTTTCTTATTCTTTTTATCATCAATCGTTTGTGAAACGCCTCTAAAAGAATGCTTTACTTGAAAAAACTGATATTTTTTCACTTTTGTGATTTTTGTTTTTAGCAAAATATACCTATGCAGTATAATATTATATCTAAAGCAGAATTAAAACGAAAACTTCGATTAGAGTTGATATTATAATTAATACTGATACCTGAAGTAACTTAAAGTTAAAGGTAAAATAGTGTCTATGTGTACCCACAGTACCTATTTTATTTTTATTTAAATTGAAAATAGAGCTATAAAAGATCTCTAATCTGTTAGTTGTAATTAAGGAAATCGTGTGTAATATTTTATACAAATGCATAATTTTATAAATTAATATGAAATGTTAGATTGTCTAGATATATTGAAAGAAATACTTAAAATATTTTTGTTCCGACTGTATTTAAAGAAAATATTTAAATTTTAATGAAAAGCACTTGTTAGCTGTAACACTATCTTTATTTAAAAATGGACAATAAATTAATATTTTTTTCTGAAAGTGATTACACTAATCTTCAAAGGCAATATTTTGTATATAAAAAAAAACAAGTTTAATAATGCATATATTATGCAGGGTGTTACCGAAATATATGTACACATTAAAATATTGTAATGGTTCCAATCAAAAAAGGTTAAATCATTCCATTGAGGGTTGTAGCTTCCTACAAATTTTTAAGTAAATAACTAAATGAAAATATTAATCGATAAATTTTAAATTTTAAAATCTTCTGCTCGATTCTTTCTTCTTGCATTCGGACTTCCTGCCTTTTTCTTTAACTCCTGACTGTCTACACCTCTTGTTAATCGGTCTGATATTCCTTGCTTTTTTCCTGTACTTTCTTTTCCCAGTCTTACTTCACTCTCTGCTAAACTATTCTTCTTACTGTGTCTTCATCTTTTTTTTTAATTGTTGCAACATAATAACTTTAATTACCTTTCTTTTTAAATCAAATGTTTCAAGGTTCATAATACCTACATGACCTTTCTTTTAATATTAATTAATGTATCCTCTCTTGACATGCTAAACCGTAATGACAATTCTTTTTTGGACCAAAATAATAAAAAAAAAACAAATTTAAATAATATCGGCGTTACAACCCTAAGGCTTTTTTGAA